AAGGAAAGTCCTTACCTGAAGAATGTTCTTTGTAGGATGTTCCTTGTTAATGATGCTTATAGTAAATAAACCCAGAATCCATGGATTTGAGACATGGCACACTGGGGAATAATATCATGTAAGTTATCTTTACAACCCTGGGGTACAGTGTGGAGAAGTTTCAAAATCTAAATGCTCTCTGTTATGAGGTAACAACTAGACTTCCTCATTTCAAGATCTCATCCACTCTGAGCTAGGAAAGTGCATGTCTGGTGTAGAAAGGCAGGCCATGTGGAACCACACAGAATCCCAGATCTTTTCTTGCTTCACTTGGGCTTTCTGCTTGCGTGTTTCCTTGGAACTATCAGTAAACCTGGATTTTAGGTAAGATCTCTAATATATGAGTCCGACTTGAATCTTTGTATTGGCTTACAAATAAAAGGTCAAACTGTCAAAAATAATTATACTTAGATTAAGTTATGTATTATTTTAGTAGAACAAGCAAGCTGAATGCTCATTTGACACAAATAATTAACATAGTATACTTACAGGATAAGGTATTATTTTTAAGCATTCGTAAGAAAAAAACTCACAAAATCATAGTGTATGAAATTACACAGAGAAATCTCAATCAACTTTTTAAAAGCATGCATAACCAAAAGTATTGCAAAATTCTATTACATGAATATATTTGATGATAAGCCTGAAATCCAAAGGATGTGTGCAGTGTAGAACACTTATAACCATGTCCGGAAATACGATTCTGCTTAATTTATAGGGTTGTGGTAAAGTTCAAATGAGATGATATAGTTATTATCATAATCCACATCATTTTTCCTATTTGGGGTCCACTAACGACAACCACCTAGAAACAGGCTCTGAAGGAGCATGAGGGATGGCAATCCCAACATTTGATACAAGCTCAAGCCATGTCTTTAATAATAAAGACTGGGGCATGTAAAAATCAGGGAAGAATGAAACAGAGGGAGAAAGAGTTCTAAAACAGAGAAGAAAGGGGTAGCAGTCTGAGTAAGGTCTCACAGAAGAATATGCAAGTTCTCAGTGCATAGGAATAATCAGCATAGGAAAAAGTAATGGCCCAGAGAACAAGAAGGGAAAAAAAAAATGCAGACACAGGTAATTGCATATATTTAGCTGTGAGGCATGAAAGAATCTGAAAAAAAAAGTATATTGTACATCTTTGAGCCTTTTTCATGCTGAGGGGGCAAGTATCAATATTTACTAAATTATCTCAAGAATTCAACCTCTAGGAAGAGTAGCGTCCAGATATATTTCAGGAAGTTCCTGTCTAAGCAGTACAATCTGGCAGTTAACACCATTAGCTTTATATAATCAGTTGTGAACTTGGGAAAATTGCTTAACTTCTCTAAGTCTCTGTTTCTTAGTCTAAAAGACAGGGATAATAATGATCTCTACCTCATGTGACAATGAATATAAAACATACAATATAGTACCAGGCACACAGTAAATGCTCAGTAAAAGTTAGTTACTACATTTACTGTGGAGAAAGGGACTTCCTGTACATTTGGATTGACTGACTGATTTTATGCCTTAATTTTACCATCTTCTTCTCTAGCTAAGTAACTTAAGGATTTGTGAAAGTTGACAAACTGATTTCAGAAGAAAAACGTGAAACTATTTCAGAAGCCAGTATTTATACTAATACTGAAGTTTTCAGTATGAACACTACTAGAAAAGAGCAACAGAAGGGGTATTAGGTCCCCTGACTTCAAATTATACTCTAAAGTTACAGTAATCAGAAACAGTATGGTACTGGCATAAGAACAGACCCATAGATCAATGAAACAGAATTAAGCCCAGATATAAACCCATGCATATATGGTCAATTAATATATGATAAAGAGGCCATGGATATACAATGGAGAAAAGACTGCCTCTTCAACAACTGGTGTTCGGAAAACTGGACAGCTACACGCGAAAGAATGAAACTGGACTACTGCCTACTCCGTACACAAAGTAAACTCAAAACAGATCAAAGAAATGAAACCGCAAAACGCTTAGAAGAAAACATAGGCAAAAGTTGCTTGAACATAAGCATGAACAAAGACTTGGTATTCATCTATTATAGTCTATAAAATTAGAACCTATGAATCAATAGCATTATAAAGATCAGGTCAGTTTTTTTCTTGGCCAGAAAACACAAACCCACATTTCTAAAATATCTCAGGTTTTCTTCAAGGAAGTCATCTTGCAACAAAACACCCTATTATCATAGAAAACAAGTATAGGACAGTATGTCATGAACAGGCTATAAAAACATAGTGGTATATAAGCCAAGGAATAAAATCCATCTGGAAAAAACGAGTAAGTAGAGGTTTTTCTCCAAATTTAATTGGAACTGTGAGTTTTCAGTCTTGCCACCATTTCTTTGATATTCCCATGTACATGATAAACACTTCCTTAAGAAATCCTCTTTTGCCTCATTTAGAAAGGAAGACCAACTCTGAAAAAGAACCATGAATGAAAATTGAAATTTGACATGTAACGAAAGCAGTCTTCCTCATATTCTTTTTATTCTGGTTTCTACATTTAAACTTAATCCAACTTTCAACTAACATTACAAAAAATGTTAAGTTACAGCAACCAATCTAGACTACCCTAAGCACTACCACAAATTCAAAGAATATATACACTACTAATTTTATGAATGCAAGGAACATACAGGCTATGAATTTTAGCTTTCTATAAGGCAACAATTTCATGAAGGTCTAATAAACCTATGAACTCTATGACTGAGCCTGATTTCTTACTGCTGATGAAATTTAAGGATAAGAAAAAACAACTTCCACACATAGATCAAACAGGATTTTCTTTTTTAATTAATTAAATTCAAGCAACTATTGAGAGTTACAGAAGGATAGTATTCTAAAGAGTAATGAATCTTCTGTTCTCAAACACTTCACACACTGCACATAGCCTTATTATGTATAATGTATCCTTCCATGATAAAATAAAACCAGCAATTGTACAGTAGTTCAAAGCCTCTGGATAATTTAGGACTATAATTATAAACTATTCAGAAGAAAATATATAGAAAAATTTTAGGTAAAGGAATGTAATTTAGTAAGGACCTTGGTGAAGAGAAAGTGAAAGAAGCAAAAAGGATAAACTGTAATTTCCCATCTTAGTGTCATCCTCAGAACAAAGATCTCTAAAGATTTTATTTCTATAGGAATTTCATAGGGGAAAAAAAACAGCATACGAAAAAGCCTGAACAATGTGTAACCCAAATTGACCCAAATGATAATCAGAAGTCAAATTTAGGGTATTTTTACTTAGCGATTGGATAAAAAGGGGATTGGAGCTTTGAGAATGATGTATCAAATGGATTCCATGAATTTCACAGTATTGTGAAAATAAAACAAATGAAAATACCTCACAAAAAACATACCTCACACCAAAGAAAAATCATGTCCTACAACTTCTACTCAGATTAACTGTGGTAATTTTGTCCTATAAAACACTTAATCGTCTCTTCAAAAGGAAAACATGATGAGAAGTTTAGATAATCTCAGTTAAAATATTACTGGAAAACTGTCTTGCTTTCTTATCTATCTCAAAACTTAGAAGTAATACCAAAATGTAATAGTCAAATATACATGCAAAAAGACCCTACAATTATGGCCCCAGAAGATGACTGGTTAGCCAGAGACGGGTAAGATTCCTCAAGGAAGGAACAACCTAAGACAGGCAGTCACAGGGGGGCCATCAGGTGAGAAATTGGGGATCAACAGAGGTGAGGCTTAGAACCTCACCCCCCCTGTTTTGAGAGAAATCTTCTGCATCCGTGGATGTCTTGTTGCCCTTGTCTAGCTTGGATTAAATAGGCACACACCTGATCATCTACATTTGCCCTCTTACAGCACTAAACTATGTTTTCTACCTTTATCCTGCATCTACCTACCACTTCAGCATTTAATTAAAAATAATAATAATAATAATAATAATAATAATAATAAGGGAGAAATGTGGGATTCACATATAAATCAAGTATAAAAATCAAACGAATATTCATATTTGACCTGATTGTTTATAGTTCATAATGCGTGATAAAAACCGAAAGTTTCTGTGATGACTGCCCTTGTACTGTTCACCATGTAAGAACTTATTCACTTTGTAAGAATTTGTTCACCATGTAAGAACTTGTTCGTTATGCTTCAGAAGATTGGAGACTGTTGAGAATTAGGGTTGGGGTTGATTAATGATTATGCATTGAATCCCCTATACAGAATTTTATTGTTGTTAACAACCATTTGATCAATAAATGAGAGATGCCCTCTCAAAAAAAAAAAAAGACCCTACAATTAAGGTAATTGTTGGTACCAAATGTTGTTTTTAAGTTCTGCAATAAAACAGTCTCCCTGACATTTAATAGTATGTCATTTGGTAAATGAAATTTTCCACAAAGTAACAGCAGTGAGAAGACCTAAAAATTATGCTAGTGAAGAGTCTGGCTGAAAGAAACAAAAATATGGATCATTTTGATCCAACACTAACTTTATTTCAAGTTACTACAGAGCTGAATAAAATGCTGACACCACCACACAAAAATTTATTGAGTTGGCAATAGGCAAAGCATGATGTCAGCCTCCAACATCACCTTCCACATTACCAAACAGCATGAACATTCAATGCTTGAACTTCTTAGACTTTATGGCTAACGTTACAGTAAAGACAAAAACCTTAGGCATGAGGCATCATTAAATATACATGAGTTAAGTTTGGCATGGTTTGGCTCAAATTAGTCTAGTACTTTAACAAATTCCATAAAACAACATGGAAAAGTGTAAGCTTAAACTACAATTTTCTAGATGTGCTACATTCTGCACCAAACAGACCCATATAAATAAGTCTTAGTCAACTCGAACTAATATTCAAGTAAATAACACCACCTACCTCTACCCCCTGCACACCCACAAAGTGTAGGCTGACAGGAGACATGGAGACACACACATGTACACACCCATGTAAGTCCTTACCTTCATGGCACAGATTTCTTCAAGCAATCGTTGTGCCTGTCTCTGGTTTTTTAACAGTGCATCTTCAGCACCCCTGCAGAAAATATGTAGCCAAGAAATATGTAGCCAAGAAAAGCATTTATCTTAGACTCCTATCAAATAAAATCTCATCTATCTTAAAAATGCATAATAAATCTGTAAATAACGAACATTCTCTCATCCTGTACTGTCCTCCCCTTGCCCAAGACATACCCCAATTCCATCAACAAACTCAAGTTTTTGGCAAAGATAAGCACTGTCCTAGCATTATATTAATGACTATTAACAGTAACAGTTTGTCTTCTATTCCCTCATAGGATGGCCAAGTAATATTTTTTAACTAAAAGATTAATAACACATTGTTTTAACATAATACAAATTTCATAAGCTGTAATTAAAGGTTGAATTAAATTTTATTAAATGAAAACTTGTTCTCTGGAATTAATGGAATATATAGGTTAAAAATATGATTATATTGGAGAGGAAGGCTGTCTTCTGAAATATTTATTAGAATAAAACACATTAAAGCATAAAAACTTATAAATGGCATATTTTTCCTCTAATACAGGTGAAACTAAAATTACAAAGCGTATTTTCAAAAGAATTTAGATTGAACAAACACATTGTTTTCATAAGCACTTCCACAAGACACTGGGAATTTCAAATTAATTATCAATGCAAGGAATAAAGTGATATAAAATCTTTATAACTGATCCAAGGTATGAGTACATTTGTTAAAACTATAGCAACATGTTCAGGTAACTTCCAATAACATAAAACACATAAACAACCCCAAAGGGCTTTCATTCCAAAATGGCCAAAAGGTGAGTTTTGGAAAAAATCAGAAGTATTCATCACATATTTTAAAGTAAACAAGGTCCAAACCATATAATGACATGCTGACACAGCACATTTTATCTCACATTCTTTCTACATATAAAACAAAGTGCTGCATGAGAAGATATTTAATTAGTCCTCTAGGCCCCACCCTTCACTTTTGTAAATACTGCATAAAGACAACTTTTGAGATTTTATTAGTCCCACGACTATTAGTTTAAATGACTAACTTTTTTGACTTCAGCCTGCTCACACTCCTGACAAGTTTTCGGATAACCAAAGCTCGGATTCTCTTCACTTCTTTTCTCACGTTCACAACCTTTGAGGAATAAAGCCAAAATTAGGAAGGCTCTTAATTCAAGAAGAAACATACTTTGTTTTGAGGCTTATTATAGATTACTCTACCAAATGAAACAAATTTTTGTTTAACTATATTCAGTTTGATGAAATCAAATCTCTTTCCATAAAGAGCAAAGGAATAAATTCTAAAAACACGTCTGAGGATTTAAGAGAAATAAGTTGTGATTTTTAAAAAGGTCATAGCATTCCCTGTGGTTAGTATATTGATACTGCCCATACATCTTGTTCCTGGATCATAATAAACTATGAGTTTCCTGAGATCAGAGACTATCATGTTCATCTTTGTATCCTTGTGGTTTAAAACAGAACTTCACCACATGGTAGACATTTAATTTCCTGAAGGAGTGTTTGCAACAACAATGGCAAATACATCAAAGAATTGTATTTTGTTTATTTATAGAGCACCTCTGCATTTGTCGCGACCCTTCAGGGACCGAAGCAACACGCCCAAGGTCTTGATTCTTCTCTAGGCTTTATTGTCTAATCTCTCGCGGCGGTTACAGCAGTTGTCGGGAAGCTCTTCTCCCTCCCGATGGGCTTCCTTATATTCAGTCACCCAACCAATCCGGGACAGTATCATGCGTGACCTTTAAGCGGATAGGTGTCACACGCCACTCTAAGCGGGCAGCACGAGCTGTGCACGGGTACGGAAGTCTGCTGGGCCAATCCCCAACAGGGAAGAGGGGAAAGGGTGGTGAGCAGGAAGCAGGCACCATCTTTAGGGCGTTGTCCAGCTAGAGTGGGGCTCAGCCTCGGCCGTAGGCCGGGCCCCCACAGCATTTATTTTTGGTAAAATATTATTTCAAGCTTAACTTTAAAAGAAACAACAAAAACACAAGGACATATGTACACCGGACACATGCTTTCAATCATCCCATTAGAGAACAATGTTGAACTCTAGAACAAAAAAATAGAACTATTGGCTAAGAGATGGAGATATTATAATGATAGAGAACTCCGCATTACAACAGTGCTTACTACGAGAACGGATGCTATCATTTTGAGTTTATGTTCGTCTGTCATTGTTAGGAACCGTACATCTTATAATTCTTACTGTAATGTCCTTCTCTTCCTCCACTTGAGAAACTACATAAACTTTTAGTTCAGATATTATCTCTCCTATGAAACTTTCAATGATTTCTTCAGCTAAACATAACCTGTACTTCCTTGAGGTTCCCACTATACTTTGTAGGTAGGATCTCACTGTACTGTCACTAACTGCACATGTGGCTGTCTTCTATAGTCTGAGCTCCTCTAAGAGGATAGGGCCTTGCAATATTTACAGTGTTTTTTGTGCCTTGCAAGAGTGCCTGGCACACACAATCCCTCAAATTCTTCTCACCAAAATAACATTATCAACCTCATTCTGTTTCTTCAAGGCTCTTGGATTTAGCCTTAACACCTTCTCTTACACTCCATTAGTATCATTCATCTCTTATCCACTGAAGGTACTGGCAACCAATTTACAACTTCTCTCCATCCTAAATTTTGCCATCATTCTGGGTGAGGTAGATGTCCACTTGAATAACCCATCTGATTTTATATCCTCACTTCTTGACTTCCTCTTTTCTAATGACCTAATCTTTTCCATCTCACCCACCCAATTCCATGGTCACACTGTAGCCCTTGTCATCACTAATAACTATTCCATTTCTAAAATCATGAATTCAAATACTCCACACAATGAGAGCACAATTTCCATCAGCTTGCTTATTCAACTTCATCCACCACATGGTCTGTGACTTCACTGAAACCACCAGTTCACTGACCCCTTTCACCTTACCTCAAATAGTTAGGCCTTTTCATTTTCCTTCTTTTATCCAGTTTGGGTACATGATCAACACTTGCCAATACCTTAAACTCCCTCTAGTTAATCCTGGATGAAAGCAACATTCTGAGTCTTTTTCACAGCACCCCAGGAGGCAGGAAGTACTTGAGATTCTACTCTAAGTCCCCCATGGCTAACTTTGACTGGGCCTCTACACTTCCTAGCAACCCTACTGTATTTTCTTGGTCAATACACTCTACAACGACTATTTTAAACCTTTGCGTGCTTTCCTAAAACATCTGACCTTCTTCCTCTTTTTTTCAATTTCATGGAGAAAATAAATATCAGATGGAAACCATCATCTTTGATTACCACAAATACAAATTTACTTGCATCCTCATCCTCTATTAATAAAGATATAAGAAATACCCCTACACATATGTCAGGTTAGTCTCCTAATTGTGTTTTGGAAGCCCATCTTTTTCTGTTTTCTTAGAACCCTTTCTATAGACTATTCCTTCCCAAGAGCACTGTCAGTCTCCTAAATGGATGTTTCCCAGTGATTTTTAATCATGCCGGGATCATTTTCACTAAAGACAAAACAAAACATCCACACTACAAAGTTTACTAGGAGCACCCTCTCTCTTCAACTGCCTCAAAGCTAAGATTTTAAAGAATTCAAACTATTTCATGAATTCCACATAATTGCAGTTTCCCTTCCCAATGGTCCACTTAAAGCTATCACAAAATTCAACAGGAATTTTTCAGACTTCATTTACTTGACATCTCAGCAGCATTTGACACTGTTTACTGCTTCCTCCTTGAAACACTTTGTCCTTGGTTTCCAGGACAGATCACTCCCCTGGTTTTCCTCCTTCCTCTCTACACACTCTATCTCGGTTTTTTAAGACTCACAGACCTCTAATCAGTCATGAGTTCAAGGCCAACTCTTCTTTTCACAATATACTTTTGAACCCTAAGTGATCGTACATGTATGTATTGTTTTAATTTGCCACCTAGCCAAAGATGACTCAAAAATTTCTACCTTTGTCTGAGATCTCTCTTTTAGGTCCAGATCTAAATATACAACTGCCCACCTGGCATTTCCTGTTGAGGGTGTTTAAAATTATTTCCAACTCACACTTGTCCCTCCCCAGTTATCCACAATTCAGTCATGATACATTTTATTTAACATGCAGATCCGATGTCACACTTTTACTGAACTCTCCCCAGTGGTTTCCAATTGCTCTTAGGATGGTCATATGGGCCTTTTTTATTCCTTCATACTCGCCATGATCACATCTACCTCCAAGTCTTTACACTTGCAATGTCCTCTGGTATGAATGCTCTTTCTCCCCAAATTAGCTTGTAAACATCTTATCCCTCTGATGTTGGCTCAACTGTCATTTCTCAGTGAAATATTTTTTTGGCCTCCCAGAGACGGTAAAACATTCCATTTATGAGCTCTTAGAGTGCTGCTAGAACCTATCATGACTGTTAGTTTTAGTTTAATTTAGTTTAATTTTACTTTTAATCTAATTATGTTTAATGTGTCTTCCTTCCAGTAGGTTATAAATTCCATGAAGGTCAAGTATTTGGTTTTGCTCAACACTGAATCTTACCTAACACAGTAGATGACATAGCAATTGTTCAATAAATATTTGTTAAATCAACAACCAGAAAGTTTGCAATAGTCACTTGTTCATTCACTGTTTCCAATGCAGAGTATGTACTAACCGAATGCAGAGTAATCAGGTTTCTTTCCCAGTAGATATGTTAACCTCTTTAGAATTTGTTTCAAAGTTAGATCCATTTAGAAAAAAATCACACTGTAAAAGTCTCTTCAGTAAATGTTGTTGGGAAAATTGGACAGCTACATGCAAAAGAATGAAACCAGACCACTGTCTTACACCACATCCAAAAATAAACTCAAAATGGATTAAACACCTAAATATAAAACATGAAACTATAAAACATAGTTTTTATAGAACTAGAAGAAAACACAGGCAGTAAACTCTTGAACATTCACATTAGTAATTTTTGTGGGGATGTGTCTCCCCAGGCAAGGGAACCAAAAGCAAAAATAAACAAGTGGAACTACTTCAAACTAAAAAGCTTCTGCACAGCAAAGGAAACCACCAACAAAATGCAAAGGCAGCCTACTGTATGGGAGACTATATCTGCAAATTATATATCCAATACAGGGCTAATAAACAAAATATATAAAAAACTCATACAACTCAACTCCAGAAAAATAACAAGTAATCCAATTAAAAAGTTTGCACCATACTCAAATAGACATTTTTCCTAAGAAGGCATATAGATGGCCAACAGAAATGAAAAGATACTTAACATCACTAATCATCAAGAAAATGCATACCAAAATCACAATTAGATACTTTATACCAGTCAGACTGGCTACTAATATCAAGAACACAAGAAATAACAAGAATTGGAGAGGATGTGGAGAAAGGGAACTCTCCTAAATTGCTGATGAGAATGTAAGTTAGTGCAGCCACTATGGAAAGCAGTATGGAGGTTTCTCAAAAAATGAAAAATACCATACAATCTAGTAATTCCACTTGTGGGAATTTAACCTGAAGAAAACAAAATCACTAATTCAAAAAGATATATGCACCCCTATGTTCACTGCAGTATCATTTACAATAGCCAAAATATAAAGCAATGTAAGTGTCCATCACCAGACAAATGGATAAGGAATATGAGGTACATATGTATATAATGGAGTACTACTCAGTCATAAAAATGAATGAAATCTCACCATTTGCAACACAGACGGACCTAGAGGATATTAAACTAAGTGAAATAAGACAAAGACAAATACTGTATGTGGAACCTAAAGACAAAACAAATGAACAAAGAAACAAAAGAGAAACAGATTCATAAACACAGAGAAGAGACTGATGGTTGCCACAGGGAAGGAGAGAGGGGGATGGGTAAAATACATGAAAGGGGAAAAAATTAGTTAGAATGTCTGATATCTTGATCTCAGTGATAGTGACATGAATATATACACATGTCAAAATGCCTCAAGCTATACACTAAGATTTGTGCATTTTATTGTAGGTATCTCAATTAGTAAAATACATGTATCAATGAAAAGTCATTTAGACTAGGTTTAAGTAAAAAAGAATTGCTACATTTTATAAGCAATATAATAGGGATTCACGACACATTTTTTTGAAAATTACATCATTCATACAATAAGTGATAAATTATGCATTAAAATTTATTAACAAATGTTTCTAAGTGCCATACCCTGCTGGTGCATGAGGTAACTATACAGCATTTGCTAACACTGTAAACCAAACTTAACTAATAAATTGCAGAGTTAGTACTCAGTTGCACTGCATTCCAATCATGGGAGAGTTAGACTCCAATTTTAAAATTCCAATTTAAGAAGTTCTATGGTTGCCAGTACTGCATCAGGGAATTTTTAAAAGCAAAGGGAATGTTTCATGCACTTAGTTTCATGCTGATGCCAAAAAATGCTTTCCTAGCCTTTTTTTTCAGTATGTATACTGACTTTAGTGCTTTTCCTTCAGTATGCTGACTTTTACAGTACCAGTGCATAGGGAGTAAGAAAATTTGAAAAGCTCAGTGTATTAAAAAACATAAGTATATTCACTTTACATAAAAATGGAGTTAGTTTTATTTTTCTCACAACTACTCACCTCAAGCACTTTCCTTTG